TATGATATGCTTTGATTTACTCATTTTAACCAAGGAGTAAAGAAACCAAGCAAGAACTCGGGAAATCCTAACAATTAAAGGAAGTGAGAAGGCAGGGAGCCCCACCCTGAGCTACAGTAGCAACTATTTTATCCTTAGATAAAGTTTTAATCTGCATCTAAATAAACTGTCTAGGAGCAAGCACGTGTGTGTAAGACAGACGTAGAAGGTAAACAAACTGAACAGCTTAGTATCTAGAGAACACACTAAAGCAATAGGTACATTATAAAAATATTGTAACAGTTAAGTGCTCTGAACTACAGAATTCAAATAATCCTTGTGTTTAACACACACAGGCTTAGAAGGCTGAATGCAGAAAGGGCTGGTAACTTCTAATCTGACACCTTGCTTTCTACAGACAACATTTTGTTAGTTGACAGTCTTACAAATTTGTCAAACTAAAATTACCCAGAAATTATACTCATGTTCAGCACAAAAATACTTGCAATCATGCTATATTTTCTATTTTTAATTTTTTCTATGTTTAATTAGGTACACTTCACAAAAGATGAGTACTTCTATTACTTGCAGAGAGAGAGAACAAGAACAAATGCTCCTTCTACTTAGGAGTTTGCTTGGTTACATACTAAGAAGGGAAACAAAAGGCCCAACATCTTCAGTAATGAAAAAGTCAATTGATAGGCGAAGCCATCACAATATCAAAGGCCTAATCCCTGCAATTCTGACTCAGGTGACAGTTCACAGGGGTCAGAGTGGCTGACACTGACCTCAAAAGCAGGTTTTAACTATTCAACGTACTGAAAGCTGCTGGGCTATCACACCATTAGACTGGAACAAACTGACAAATCAATTTCATCAAGGAGATGCCTTTTTTTGGTGGAGGGGGGGAAGAGGCAGATCCATCAATCAACAAATCCCTGCATTTCTCACACAGGTGGGTGGACAAAAGCTGAGTGCACCGCCAAAGACATTTTATATCTACCAAATGCCTTTGTACAAAACTAACTCCCACAATTTCCTTAGGGACAGCTCTAAATGTTTTAAACAAGTATTTTTCTCATATTCAAACCAAGTTATTGAAAAGTAAAAATACTTTTAAATTCCTCCATTTCTTGCTTTGAAAGAAAGGGTATATTTTAATTAAAACCAACCAGAGTAGGCAACAATGTCAATAAATAATCATTAACCAATGTGGAGAGACTGTGAACAATACAGCATATAAAAATACATTGCTTTCTGTTTGAGAGGCGTGTACAATGCTTACTGTTAAGAGTCATTTTAACCCAATAGTTTTAAAATAAATAATTATTTGGTCCCTAATAGCAGAAGAAAAAAAAAGTTCACTATAAGAAGCTTACAGTAATTTCATGTCCTACTGACAACAGGTTTCTGGTTGATTCTCTCTCTTTAGTTAAAGCAAAACGCAGGTAGCCAAAGCCAAACATTTTATTTTAAAACTGTACCTTTTAAAGGTATATTCAGGCTATGAAAGGCCCTAAAACCTCCTGACCTTCAGTTAGAATTTAGCGCAGTGCAGGTCTACCGCATGAAGAAAACGTGACAAATTGCAGAAGTTACATATTTTGTATTTTGACTTGGCTTGACTTTTTAAAACTTCACGCTACAGTTCCAGGAAACCTTTAGACACTCAAGAACTGCTCATTTAAGTTATAGACTTTACACAACAAACTATTTGAGGAGCTTTCCTTCCTGTTTGTCTGCAGAATTAAGCATTGTACTAGTCACTGAATTAGAATTAGGATTCCAGAACAGTTAAGGGTCGATGTAAATGTCTTCATTAAATGCCTGCAGAAATTAAAGTGTTGCTAAAATTACTGCCAAACCAGTAAAATAAAGCATGCGTTCTCTTTTTTTTTTTTTTTTTTTTTAGAGCCTCACTTCAGATCTTACATCAAGTTGTTAAAGACACATAGCTTTATTTGTAAGCTTTATTTGTAAACCACTTTCAAAATGGTTATAAAAATGTTTATATTTCTTAGTGGTTTAGATGAAAAATTTTTGGAGTATTTCTGCTCTAAGCATTTGAACAAAGTAACTGTGAGCAATGAAAGTTCTTCTTTTCAAGAACTGCCTTTGTTA